AACAAAGGATATTTATTTCACAAAGTTGGTGTTGTTTGAAAAGGTTGAGAAGCTTTTGTTTAAAAATCATTATTTATTTTTTCATCACTTTTGTAGTGTTTTAACAGATAGATAAAAAAATAGCAGGTAAACTTAAAATTAAAAACAATAAATACGTTGACAAATGACAAATACAAATGTCTCAATGTACACTCAAACCTACACACCTTTCTTGTTTTAAATACAGGATCTTTTTTACACTCTGATCTGGATGAACGGCCTGATCATAGATTTGCAGCCATTACAATTCAAAGCATGTTTGTCTTGATCATCAGCACCAGCTGCATGTTTCTCTGGTGCTGCTCCCTCCACATAAACACACCAACTGTTCCTCCATCCACAATCAGAGCGGCTCTCTCATTAACAACAGGCTCTGCCTCTCCGCCTCAAAACATGCTCTGCCTTTTGAAAATCCTCAGCTTAGTCAGAAATGTAAAGTAGATAAAAGTCAGGCTCACCAGCACATTTTTCAACGTGTACAACACGGGTGTGACATAACCAAACACGACAATGAGAGCGACTCGAAAGACGAAGAAAGGAAGGTCCTGCAGAGCGACTCCGGCAGAACACAACAGAGGGTTCTGAGGAGTGATGATCATGCGGAGAGTGGACATGAAAGCCAGGATGTAGACGGGGAACACCCAGACCGAGTAGAAGATCAGCGGCTCTCCTGCCACTCTCACTATCTCCACCGTGTCAAACCAGAACAGGAAACAATCCACCAGCACCTCTGACCTCATGTCCCTGCGCCACAGGAAGCCCAGAGGACCGGAGTAGGACCTCCGACGTGAGGAAGAGGAGTAGAGGTAGGCGGCGCTGTGTGTGGGGCGGCTGGGGGAGCCAGGGAGGTCGGACCATCTGCCAGAGGGTCCTCCGTTCCTGACCTCTGGGGTCACAGCGCTTTGACCTTCATCATCGTCAGCGGGCAGCTGGCCTGTGACGGTGTTCACCGACTCCAGGCGGGTGAGGACCGGGCCGGGCATCTCAAGGTCAGACTCCAGGCTGTCTGCTGCGGATTACAAGGAATCAAACTGTTAAAGTTGCAGATCGTGGATAAACTGATGCACAAACATTATAAAGGGAAGTTAGTGTGTTGAAAAGTATGCGTTTTAAGGGGGTTGATTTTTCAAAGTAGTTTCAAAGTGCTGTAGAATTGTATTTGGAAGGTACATACAGTTACTGTCTCTCCCAGCTAGAAAATAAAAATGTATGCAGGTATGTTATTATAGGTGTTAAACAGTAAACTACATTTTGAAACAGGGGTCTTTTCAGGGAAACCTGAGGACCCCCGAGGGCCTGTTGCAGTCACCCACTGCAATGTTAATGCAGACTTACTGTCAAACAAATAATAAGAAACTGATCAAATGTTGGTACGACAATAACTGTTTACTTTAGAGTAATGACCCACAGATTTTTCACAGCAGACATGTTGAGTTGTTAAAGTAGGGAAAGCACACGTTATAAATACCATTAAAAGCAATAGTTGGTATTGTTTGAAAAGGGGTTGATTAATGTTCGAATCCATAGTCAGTAAAACACCAAAGTCACTGAATAACACAAACTGAAGCAGGCAGGTGTAGACCAGCAACTTCTGCATGCAGCGAGTTCAAATTACCGATTTTTCTCAAAGGAGTTTGGGTTCTTTGAAGAGAGCATAGATAACGGTCTTAATACCCCGTCGCCATCTTCTGTAGGTTATACCCTCACTGACTATGGTTACTGTAGGTTAAACCCAACTTCAAACCATCCCTTTAAGCAGCTGCACATTTCATTATTCACACTTTTCTTTGTCAAAATATCTACAGGATCAAAGACTTTAATCTATTTGATCTCACACAACATAAAACCCAAACACTTCAAATGCAGACATACACATTATTTAAATGTTAACTCTACCAAAAACTCACATGGTCCCATGAGCTTGCAGGGGCGGATCCTCTCGATGATGTCCACACAGATGAGGGAGAAAAGCACCAAGGAAACGGGCAACTCAGTAAAATGGTCGAGCGTGAGTCCTCTGTCCACCTGCACCTGAAGAACAACCCATTACAGCAACAGAACAAAAAGAATAGTACATTCAATAGGACAGAGAACTGATCTGCCTCTTATAAATCATGAGTAATGAAACCGGATGAAACTGAATCGAAACCATTCATTATGGCATTTGGCTGGACTGAGAAAGAGGAGACAAGTTTTATGAAGCCATCCAATTTAACCACCCCATCATTATAGAAATACAATGCTGCTATAAACTCACTTAAGACAAGATGAAGAAGTATTAGATGGTGTTATTAAATGTATGATGTGTCTGACAGGTCTTTGTGTAGCCAAATGATCTTATTTATGTCATTGCCAAGGAGGATTGTCAAGGAATAAAAGAAAACACGTCATGTGTCTGTTTTCAGAGGGGAGGATGGTACTTAAGTTTGGGTTAATGGCCAACCTGTTATGTTCACTGTGGGTTACTGAATACCCCAGACAGAGCGTGCAGTCATGTGACAGTGGACACATTTCCTCTGTGGTTCACATATAATTACAAATGTGCCAAAGTCCCTCTCAATACACAGGGAGAACATATTTGGATGCAACCTCAAGAGGCAAAATCTCAGGATACTTGGAAGAAGAATTGGTGACAAGCGATCAGTTTCTTTCTCTCTGAGGTGCAATGTGCCGTGTCGACCATCACTCAGTGAATAATAATAGTTCCCCAAGCACATACACAAGGGGGTCATAAAACCATCCCGTGCCTCAAATGGACTGTTTACAACAAATATGGCTGTTCAAGGACCCCGTCGGAGCGTGACAGAACGAAACATCAACAGGTGCTTCTCTGTGACAAGAGCCATCCGTCTGTGTGACTCTACCTTGGAGCTGGCTATTAATATGGCAAAGCACGGGAATGTGCACAGCATGAGATACGCCAGCGCTGTCGGCCTCCTGAAAGACAAAATGAGTTGATATTAGTCAATCTGAATAACAGTTAGCTCAGTGTAAGGAATAATTGTTGAGAGTGCTTTTCTGAATGTATAAACGGCATTTCTTAGTGTTATTGTCTGATTTATGTTGTTACATTAAAGGAACATTGTTGAATAGATTTACAATTATGTAGATACTTGGGTATTGTGTGCCACTTTATACTTATATTCCACATCATTAGGAAGCAAATATGGAACTTACGTTTCACATAATCATGGGATGATGTTAGAGCCATAATGCCTAAAACACTCAGTGGCATCAGTAAGAAAGCAATATCTAGCTCAAGTTGGCTAACATTAGCCACCATAAACTAGTGATCATAACACACCACCCTTAAAACCCCTGTGAGTGTATCTTAGCAAGGATTTCTTTATTGTTTATGATTTCAGAAAAAATGAAAACAATATATACATTATGATACTTTGTTAATGATTAAGCAACAAAACAGTAGTTAAGATTAGGTCCACATAAAACATCAGCAGTCATTTTGCATCATGGACACTTTTTGATATTTTGAAAAGTCAATTCTGATAATATTTCTGAATGCAGGACGTAACTGTCACAAGGTGTTTTTGTGTTGCAGTGTTGTTGCTTTGACTGAGGAGCTTCAGTGTTCCCTTTCACTTCTGCATTTTCTGCATTGTTAGAGCAAGTACATTCTATTCTGAGTAAGCCAAAATCTACCCCAAAAAGGTTTGTTCTCTCCTAACCATTCTGACCGTGACATTGATTGAAGTTCTTCCCAATGGCTGTACTCACCACTGTGTGATCTCCGTGATGAACCTCCTCTTCTTCAGGATCAGATACTTCAGAGGCACCCACACCAGCAGGGTCACGGAGGTCACGTAGGCGACCGAGGCGGCCACCACCAGCCAGTAGGCCGTCAGATCCCCGCCTCTCACGTCCCGTATGAGGCCGGCAAACCTCTCCATGATCACAAAGACCGGTATGATGAGGGCCGCGAACTGCAGCACCTCGTACAGGACGAACTTCAGCGTCTTCCCCGAGGGCATCGTCTCTGAAAACCAGTCGCTGGTCTGAAAAGACTTCGACAATCATCTCCCACAAAGCGAGCGGACGAGCTGTTGGACTCTGCTCACTGACACTGCTTACACTGCACTGGAGGCTGTATTCTTTTATTGCCGAGGTAATGAGGTGGTCATGCTCGCCTTTTTATGGGCCCACAAAAAGAAAAGAGTCATCCCATAATTTCAAGGAGATGGTACATAAGTTCTGGAAAAAGTGCTCGGTTACTTTGAGACTCAAGTTTTAACATGTTTTTGGAAGAATTGAGTAATCAAGACATTGTTGAAATATAAAAGAATCCTCATTAATACACTTAAAATGCCACTTTCAAAATCAGTGACATTGTCTTTAGCTGCTTTCTGTCCTTTGTTGGGGGACACTTACAGTAACATCTCTTCCACACACACACACACACACACACACACACACACACACACACACACACACACACACACACACACACACACACACACACACACACACACACTTAAATCTCCTAAAAATCTTAACACTTAACTTTTAACAGGTTTAACAAAAAGGTAGAAAGTATAGCAGGACCGTTTAACTGTACTTGTTTTTAGATACAAGTACACAATAAATTAAGTGAATATTTTAACCGTTCAAACATCAATGAAAGTGCTTCATTAGTCTTGCAATATAAGCAAAGAACTTCAAAACGGTCATGATTTGATTCAAATGTTGCAAAACTCTGATCGGTGGCAACACCTGTGTTCATTGCCTACTTCATACAAGTGAGAAAAGCTACACATTCATACTTAAAGCTGTTCTAAACTCCCAAAGGAAATATTGTTCATATTGTGAAATGGAACAAGCATGCATAACAATGTCTCCTTTAAAATGTCTCTCAGTAGTGAAACAGTTTAAGAAGCAAATCAAACAAAAACACATTTTACAAATCCATGAAGTGCTTTGAAAACAAGAGAACAAGGCTGTTCATATTATTCTGTACATTTGGCCTGGTTTTATTGTGAATACCAATTAATAAGTATGGTTAAAATAATACATACAAACAGCAGGATACAAGATTAGACTGAACCTTTACAATAAGTGTGTTTAAAACTTAAAAACAGGCGGCATCTCAATCCTGTGCAGGTCACAGCGGGGCTGCAGTGCAACAACATGTTAGATTTGGATAGTACGAGGGGAATCACTGGCTCCTGTCCCAGAATAGCTGCTACCTTTCAATATATCGGATATATTCAGCCCTCTTTGACTCAACAGATTAACTCCACTCTTTAGTTGAAGGCAGCAAAAGAAAGATATCTTGTCTTTCAAATCAACTTTAGGAATGCTAAAATCTGAAAAGGTCTAGAGAATTGAATGGCCTCCTAGTCCCAGGTACCAGAGCTTCATTTGGGGGGTGTTTTATATTCTTAAAGGTGGCACAGGGGTGGCAAGGAGGAGCAAAGTATCTCAAGAGAAATTTAAATGACACACAAATCAGATCAACACACATTAGTCCTGACTGCATAATCTAGTTCATTGTATCATAACTCCTTCATGTAGCATCATTCAATATTAAACAACAGATCAATAATATTCCTGTTTCTTCAACTTCTTGCAATCCAGTCAATGTTTGAAAAACTTCCCAAAGACTTTAAACAGGTAAAGTCATGGAAGAGTTTGGTATGAGAACTACATTAGATCCACAGGTGTCACTGTAACGGAGCTCCTTAGAGAAACACGTGTCGACGGTGCTTTCCAGAATCATAAATCCTTATTTCGGTTCTCTTTCAGGTAGAATTTGTTTTAGTGTTAGACAGCTTCGAGAAAGGGTTTGAAATGCAATGGGGGAGGTACGATCAGCTTTTTTTCACATTACCATTTGACCCTACAGTACAATAAGCATCAAACACTGAGAGAAATGTCCATGTTCTCATGTGAGCGATTTAAATATACAACTAAGTTAGACAGAATATCACATATTCCACTTTTCTCTGAATACATACATCCTGAACTGCTTCTCCATTTAAAATAGCATAACAATAATCAAAACATAAATTAAAATGCACTACAAAAAAAACATAGTATTCATTTTTTAACACTGACTAAAGAGATGCTTTAAAGACACTGTTCGGAGAGGTCGCCCCTTAGTGGCCGTTAGCACAGCGCCTGAATGGAGATGGAGCAAACCGACAACAAGGATGGAGAGCTGCTCATTTTGAAAAGGAAAACTCTGCAGTTTGATGAAAAGGGTGAATTATGTTGAGAAAATACAAATAAAAGAGCAAATATCTTGTTTTCTGGCGGATTTCACTTTGTTCCTTTTGGCTTTTACACCTTCAGTTCAGCGGGGAGATCCTGACTGCAGAGTTCACCTTCAAGGCTGAGAGAATCACTCGGCGCTGTGCTAACATCCCGACCGACAATGAACTCATCACGTGGCGTCACTACGAGTTTGGTACAGTATATACAGGAGTCATGTGCATGCTTAAAGTCCTCCGGTTTCTTCTTCCCTCCAAAATAACAAAGTGGCTTCAGTTTTCAGTACTTCTAAAAGTTGACGACATATACAGAATGTAGTAACCTAACGTTTGCAGCATCGCTAAAAGTCCTTTTTCTGAAAAAAAAAGTAAGTCGACGCCCCTTTTTTTGTGTGACACGATTAGCGCTGCAGGGGCTTTAAGTGTGTGAGAAGGCTGCGGCATGTTAGTGTGTCAGTGACGTTCAATGATAACACTGCTGAGGATGTGTGGACCACCTGGTGCAACTGTGTGTGTGTGTGTGTGTGTGATGCTGTACACCTGCCTGTAGTGTGTATGTAGCTCCAGTGTGCATCTTGAAAGGTGGTGAGAAGGAATGCCCGTGTGTATTTCACACTTGATCAAATAGTAATCGCAGAAATATTTTGTCTTTTTGTTGAAACGGCTACAGGAACACTTTCTATCTCAGAGCATTTTTGTTAACACTTTATATTAAAGGATTGTTACTCGTTACCAATTTTCAAGGAAGTTTCTATGAACAAACTGTGGACTTTGATACTAAATTAAAAAGGTTAAATACTGTACATAACATATCAATCCACTTCCAATTACAATAAGCGTAACCTACAACGTTTTGAAATCATTACACAGCATGTTTGCTGAACATGCAAAAATATATACAGTTCGAAAAATAAAGTTTGCAATGATATAGGACTAATGAATGAATGAATACTTCTTAGCTCTTCATTAGGGCAACTAAATACATTTTCTATCACTTCCTCTTTTATTGGTACCAAATATGTTCCAACCCATAAAATAAAGCATTACCGCAATGTTCCCATAGTCCTATTGTTAAAAGGAAGCAATAGATGCAGGTTTTGCATAAACAGATGGAGAATGCAAATATTGATATCAGGTCTAGATTTAGAAGTGATCAGGCTTGAGTGATGAACAAATCCTAAAAGAAAGTGCAACTAAAGATAAAAGTGCAACTGGAGGCTCCTCTGTGTCTTCACCTCCGAGTCATGTAAAGATACGGAGAAGAGTGAAACGTCCTTAGATAAAAGAACACGCAGTGTGTTTCTATGATCACTCCTACACCTGGAGTGAGAAGTGTAACAGTATATTTACCTGCCAGATAAAACAACAGCGAGTGCCCAATGATAGCTTTCGTCTACTCTTAAATGATTCCATGATAAAACAAATCTAAGTGTAACATAAGAGGTGATGCACGGCTGCAGGTGTGGTGCATGTGTTTGCGTGTGAGGGTAACGGGGATCTGAGGGGCCCTATAGCAGGGCTTTCTCTGAGGAAGGGGCTATGCTCTGGCCGGAGGCGTTGCTGTAGTTTGGCGTCTGCGTCATGCAGGGGCCCGGGGCCCCCCCTGCACTCTGGTAGGCCTGCATGTCTGCAGGGGCCATGCTGCCTGGAGCTGCAGCGTAGACTGGCGGCTGGCCCATGTACATATGAACATCACTATGAAGAAGAATGAGGCAACATTACATTTGACACCACAGTAAGTTGTAATCATTAAATAGTCGGTGAAAAGTACAATTCCTAATGCTTTTATTTTGCATTTAAAAAATGATATTATTACAGGGCATACACAATAGAATTAAATGGTTTTAAAAATAGAATATCTACAAATCAGAAAAATAGAGAAAAAATAATAATAATTGATAGGAACCAGTTTACAGATTAAGGATACATTGGCATATCAAATCAAGTAATTGGAAATGTTTTGTGTTGCCTTTTGTGGTGAATGAGGAGGATGCTCACCTTGGGGCCGGCTGTCCAGGAATAGGGGGGCCCGCTGGGAGCTGCTCCATAGGAACAGAGTAACCCTGCACTGCGGGGCCGCTCATGGCGTAAGAACCTGATGCAGGCTGACCTGGGTACACCTGGGGAGAATGTTAACACGAGAGTAAGTCTAAAACCAACCCTTTTTAAAACCAGTAGGGTGGTAACCTGATGTGAGAGAGACGGTACCTGCTGCGCTGCGTTGCCCGGCTGCTGCATGTAGTACTGTTGACTCTGGAGCTTGGCGTACATGGCGTAAACTGGATCGTCATTCATTATCTTGGCGTACAGAGACAGAGCCTCCATCACCTTCACATTCAGCTCCGACAGCTCCGAGTGCTTCCTGATGAGACAAACCCCAAACACAAGAAAACTACATCAACTGAATATTCATGAAATGGATAATCCACATAGGGTCAGTGTTATATGTTTTCATCTTATTCTGTAGTTGACTGTGTGTCTGTACATTGTACCTGTCTATATCATCCAACTTCTGGTCAATGAGCGGTCCCATTTGATTGCAGGCACCTAATGAAAAATACAAAAGCAGTTGCCAATTTAAAGATAACACACCTTTACATAACATAACAGATTAGCTTCTGCAAACTGATATGCATTTTGGCCTCCCTTGCATTCCCTTTAAACAGAGACATTCCTAAATCCAGTGTACCTTCCAGCTGTAGTAGCTCCACGCTGTCCGACTGGTTGTCTGTGGGATCGGCACTCTGGATCATCTGCAGCAGCTGGTCCATTTTGTCCTGAAAGATTTCAACAAAAATTCCTCTGATGACCCTTTTAATGTGATGAGTCCATCTTTCATCCGGGTAAGAAACAAACAAGTTCACCTTGTGACATCTTATCTATGTTAGTCTGTGATTTATACCAGCAGGTGACAAATTCAATTCAATCCTATTTTGGTACACAACTCTTAATTGCTGCTACAGTGGATCTCAATGAGGCAGGAAAAGCTTAGTGAGCAGCATACCATGTTCACACACACTTACTTCGTCTATAAACACAGGCTCCTGCTCGGGCTCTATGGTCTCCACCTGGATTTCCTCACTGAACTGGACAGACTTCTTCTCCGTCTTCACTGTAGATGTCCATGTAACAGCGAAAACGGCAGCAGCAAAACAATGCAACAGTAGCATCAGTAAAACGTATATAAGAGGGCAGGATGCGCTACATGGACACTCAGTTACCGTCCAGCACCAGCACAAAAGATTGTTCCAGATAGTAAAAGGAAAATAAAAATGTTAATCTGACACACACTATGGATAACTTGTCTTGAACTGTCATCTTCACAGTTGTATAATTACTGTTTTTCAACCTGCTTTAACAAGAAGTGACACACAACACAAAACATTGTTATCGGATGTGATCATGATTGCAAAATAGAAGAATGAACACATGTGGTATGACTGTTTGTATTGATGACACACAAATTAAGAACAAGCAATGATTAGAACAAATTATGGGAAGTAACAAACATTTGGATGTTATTAAAAAAGCGTGACAAACTCCTACCAGACGTCAACTAAACAGAGCGGTTTGCAGTTATATTATGCGAGATGACCAGCTCCTTATTATGTATACATATATGAAGCTCAACAATCTGACAGGGTGCACTATAGGCAAGATCATTTTAGCTTTGCAAAAATTGATGGCAGACAATAAACAGTTTTGTAACCACACACATTGGAATCCATTTTGGCACGAATGAAGGAGATGTAAAATGCAGAACATGCGACCAGACAAAGCCAAGAACATAAAGCATGTGAAGAGGTTGCATGTGAAGAGGTTGCATGTGAAGAGGTTGCATGTGAAGAGGTTGCATGTGAAGAGGTTGCATGTGCAGAGGTTGCCAACAGTTCAGCACGTAGAAAACAACATCAGATTCTGTATCAATATGGCAGAAACTGAGAGTTGTTGCATCAGAATCGGACTCCACAATGTTATCAGAGCAACACTGGTTTGACTTCTCAGAAATACAGACAGTGTTTTACTGCATCACACAGCGCCAACTGATCACTTTCTGTCTGTAACACATGTAGAGATTGTTCTTTGCATTGTTTTACCAGCAGTGTGGTAGAGATAAAGTATTTCCCACTATAAGATCAATAAAGCAAATGGACTCAGAAGTGCTATCATAGAACTTAAGATGATATAGATTGATAAAGAGTGAGTGTGTGTGTGTGTGTGTGTGTGTGTGTGTGTGTGTGTGTGTGTGTGTGTGTGTGTGTGTGTGTGTGTGTGTGTGTGTGTGTGTGTGTGTGTGTGTGTGTGTGTGTGTGTGTGTGTGTGTGTACTCACTCATCTCTGGCTCTGCAGTGAGGTCGGCAGTGACGAAGTTAGAGGGGAACAAACCCACTCCCTGGTACGTTTCCCCTTTCCACCAGTTGGGGTCACTGAAACAAGAAAATCAGACACCATGAAAATAAATCAGATTTGTGTCTTCTCACTGCTGCATTTAGATGTCAAATTCAAGATTCAACAGATTAGATAACAAATATGTGTTTAGGGTTAAGTTGTAACAGTTTCAAGGAGAACTCCTCCTGTCCCTCAATCCTCTCAGTGATGTGACAAATCCTTGCATGCTGTTTATCCCGGATTTGAGTGTGCGTTATAATTCACCTGTCGTCCAGGATGGTGATGATTTCTCCTGACTTGAAGGTGAGCTCGTTGTCCTCAGCGGCCTCAAAGTCGTAGATGGCGCGGACTTTCCTGCCGTCAGACTTGTGTGAGGAGAGCAGGCCGGAGGTGTTCGGGTAGAGGCTCGACAGCGAGGTCTGCGACTGCGGACGCTGCTCCTTCAGTGACAGCTCGATAGCTGCACACAGAACACACAGATATGGGAAATCACGGGTTTGTCCTTGAAAGTCCTTACATATTCCTGAATATCTGCAATGCATTAAGACCAGTTTAAACAGTGATTAATGCAATGCAAATACAGAACTTAAAGGGTTGCTATGCATGCGTTTTAAGGATAACACCTCTTCAAATACATTTAAATAAGCATTTCTTTGTTCTGATAATCAGCTATACGCTTCCTTACCTTTGGCCAAGTCGTCTTCTTCTTTCTTTTTTGTTGAGGTGGAGGGATCCTTTGCCACTAAAGCAGGGCTTGCTTTTGCTTGCTCTGCAGCCTGTGGAAGAATAATAATGTGTCATTGTTCAAAGTAAGTCTGCAGGTATAGACACTACACACATCTATTAAGTCACAACTGATCATTGAGAGGGATTAATAATAAGTCAATTCATTGTGTTTTAGGAAAATCCTACTCATTGTCCCTTTAACTTTAAAATCCCAACATATAATTTCTATAAATTGTGACATAATTGTTGGGCATTTATTAGGAAATGTAAAGTGGAATGCAAGAAAAGAGCTCAGCCGCTAAACAAAATGGAGATGTCTTAGTCGTATAATATGGCTTTTAACTACTAGCCCACTAAGATGTCCATAATTACAGCAATTGATAGATTTGATCTCAAATAGAGTACGCAATAAAAACCAACAACCTGTCTTTTGCACCCCTCCCACCTACCTGGGACCCGACGGCTGGGAAAGTGACTCCTTGCTCGCGTAGATTCTTGATCATAGCTGAGATGAGGCTGAGTTGGGGATCGTTGCGGAAGTCCTCGGCCCACTCCACCATCAGGGCTTTCAGCTTCTCACACACTTTGGGGTGGCCCTGGGGACATCCGTAAAAAGGCACAGCATGAGAACAAGAAACTGGATGCACCATGACCTAATTACAAAGAGGAGAAACTAATACATGTAGAGAAATTGCCATCATCACACACCTTGTTTAAGACGTTACTGACTTCACTGGCAAACTCTCTGGAGCACACCTCCAAATGGAATATCTTCCCACAGTTTGAGACACAAGCACCAAGGAGCTGTGAGGACAAACAACTTTTTAGAATCACTATTTAATCCAGAGCAACAAGTGACAAACATGCAGCTGATATATTAAAACAGGTAGTTACAACACAAGCTCATATCTCAGTTAAGATTGATTAGGTTTAGATAAAAAAAGGAGACTATGTGATTCTCCCAAGAACCAAATAATATTATATAATCTGCTCACAGTCAATGCCTGCATGGCCACATGAGGGTCCTTGTGATTCACTCTTCTCATAATAGAGCGGAGACATTCTTTAGGCCTGCAACAGAATGGTAAAAAAGGTTAATTGTTTGGCAAGGACGAAAAAACTATGCTTGCAGCCATGGGCGTAATTTCCACTGGGGACAGGGGGGACATGTCCCCCCCACTTTTCAAAATCCCGTTTGTGTCCCCCCCGCTTTTCAAATGTGTTTATTATTATTTTTTTACGCAAGCGGTCATCGTCACAGAGGAGCACACAGCGTCTGTGTGTGTGTGTGTGTGTGTGTGTGTGGCACGAGCGCATTTTGTGCGAGCGAGCGAGAGAGAGAGAGAGAGAGACAGAGAGACAGAGAGAGAGAGAGAGAGACACAGAGAGAGAGACAGACAGACAGACAGACAGAGAGAGAGAGAGAGAGAGAGAGAGACGGTGCACCAGTTACGGGGGTTGTTGTTAGCATCTGCTGCTAGCTCGGAGCTAACGGAGATTAGAAGCTGTTTCAACAATAAGGAGAGGGTGAGCTCTCCTGTCGGACTGAGAGAGATAACGTCAGCTCAGTGAGGTAAAGGACTCTGAGGGATTAGATTGTAAACTTTAGTCTAAGTTATCTCAGTGGGTCTCAAACGGTTTGGTCATCTTTGTAAACAAATAGTTCCATCTATTTAATATAGCTGTAAAAAACAAGTTAAGAAATCATTGCAATATAGGTCAGTAAAAACTAAAAAACACAGTTTAAAAGGGGTGTGATTAGTAAAATATGCATAAATAAAAAGAAAATATGCAGACTAGGTAAGATAAAGATAGGAGAGAGGAGTTTATCAAATATGTGTTATTGGTTGTGAGCATATTCTAATGGTTTTTTGATTATTGAAATATATACAGTTCTGTTTCATATGAGTGTTGAGAGCTGTATCCATACATCTCTTAATTTCCCCTCAAAGTGCACAAGATTGATGCCTTTAACTTCAATTGAATGCCCCCGGACCCCCCTAGAGGATGTGAGGTCCACCAACAAAGAAAACAGGTTCACATGGATAGGATACTAGATAAATCTGCACACTCATCATACACTACACATTTCTCTTGGACTTTTTAACACCATAGTCCCTAATATATTTGTAGAAAGGCAGGAAATGGAATTAAATGTAGAAAATGTTTCATTGCGGAGGACCCCCTGTTTTGTGTGTCCCCCACTTCTCAAACCAAAGTTACACCCTTGCTTGCAGCTATGTTGGACTGAACATGTCACTGGGGCTGGACAATTCATTTAAGTTTTAGAAGAGAGAAAAATCCAAGTAAAGCAATTTTTGGTGAAGGCAAAATATGTAAAGAAATATTATTGTGAATATTATTGTGGTGCAGCGAATAATTCCTACCCTATAAATGGTACTGTACAGACTTAATAAACAATCTTTGTTTGGTACTGAGCTCATAAAGTAAATCTAATTTGAACTGCGAATCATGTTGCTATTGCAATATCAGTCAAAAATATTGGCAATTATTTTTTCCTCATCATGCAGCCGTAAAAGATGCTGTATATGTATTTTTTAGTGAACATTAAGACATCACTATCTATCATACATGTTTCTTTATACACTTGGTGTCCCTGGTTTCTATCTTTCACCCTTGGATACGCGTGTTACCGATTGAAAAAACCTTAAAAAGGGGACTTTAAGCCTCGTAAATGTGTCTGTGTGTCAGGTTTAGTATGAAGACAGTTAACTTACCCCGTGCGCGACTGTCCTATCTTATCACATATGTCCAGAATGAGGCCCCAGTCTTCAGCTGTGTTCATCTCACTGGTTGCTTTCTCTGCAGGAGAGAAGCACCAGAACCAATGTAAGCATAACAAACAACAGATTTCATTTAGAGCCAGAAAGGAGAGGCGAGGATCCTCCTATGTTCAGAAATAATAAAGCTTCTTGAAACACAAATGGTAGTGGCAAGCTGTGGGTGTGTATGTGAGATCCGCTCCTTTGTTTTTGTGTTAATCATAGAAATTAGCATAAACATTAGAGAGATACAGACAACATAACGGAGGCCTTAAACAATACAACAGCTCTGCAGTAAATAACAATCTGAGTGAGCTCATAATGTTTGTTAGCTGCACGTCTTCTCACTGGCCACAAAAAGCGTGACCACATCACCCCAATTCTGGCCTCATTACACTGGCTTCCAGTTCGGTTCAGAATTGATTTTGAACTCCTTTTATTTGTTTTTAAAGCACTAAATGGGCTGGCTCCGGCCTATATAGCCGAACTCCTCCATCGCTACACCCCAGCCAGAGCTTTAAGGTCAGCTGACCAGCTGTTGCTGATAGTGCCCAAGACCAGGCTCAAAACCCCAGGGGACCGAGCCTTCGCAGCAGCTGGCCCTAGGCTCTGGAACACTCTGCCCCTCCATGTGAGGTCGGCCCAGACCCTAGGGGTTTTTAAATCTTCACTTAAGACTCACTTCTTCTCCCTGGCCTTCTAGTCAGAGCGGAGCACGACTCCTGACATTTCCCTGTGTGTGATTTTACTTTTGCTGTTTTTGATTATTTATTGTCTTCTGTTATTGTAGTAAAGTGTTTTTATTGCATGTACAGCACTTTGGCTCGACCAAAAATCGTTTTAAAATGTGCTATATAAATAAAACTTGATTTGATTGAGATCCTCAATTGTAAAATATAAATTGAATATAGACATTGAGATCTTAGATTATAAAATAAAAGATTATATTTAAATAGTTACAAACATATGATCGCCAATAGTGATGAAGAGATATCCATCAGCATGTTTATACAAAAACAGAACAAATAATCTCTGAAAAAACACTTGATCTGAGAAAACAGCTATTACTCCAAACACACCCATTATAAGCTTTGCCAAATTAGCATTTACTACTGAATTTAAGGGCTTTAGTTTTATAGGGTACTATGTATCGAGGCGTATGCGGTCTACCACTAGCCACAACACAAAGAGAGAAAGGGAAGCGCAGTGTTTCACAAACCACTGCATCCTCTTTCACTTGCACAGCTGTGAGATGTCAGGCTCATCATATTGGTTAGCCAACATACGATGGGATGAAGTGAAGTGATGATGAGGCAGATGGCTAGCTGTTATTGCAGTAACTTGGACATTATGAATGCCTAATGCAACAATACATGTAAAGAATATGTTCTGTTAAAAAACGGTTAAAAATGCTCTGAGAAGAAAAGTAATTATCAGCAGAGGGAACGCCTTATACTATAAATTCTGTATGACTAAAAAATAACCATAGACTGTATTAAATAACACAATATATATAAGACATATATAATTCTACAAATTATAAGCTATTGAAAACACCTCTCATTTTTGCTCAAAATATTATATATTGTGTACAACTAATCATAATGTGAAAATGTACTGTTAAATGTCATGATACAATTCCAAAATAATAAATATGACATTTAATGTATTACAAATGCATGACTATGGTAGATTTTACATATATGAATGCAGCATAACAAATTAACCCTAATTTAAATTGGATTTGTATGTGAATAAATGTGTTTTTTTGTGTTGTTTTTTAATTAATATTCATGTCTCTCTGAACCATTATAAGATAACATGAAATGCTTTATTGTCATTGTATGTTAAACACAACGAAATTTAGTTTGGCAGCAATCCACTATACCTGGCAGCATATATACATTTAAAACGTAAACTATGAATATTATTTATAATAATTATATCTAATGTTTGTTTAACGCGTTTTCAATAACGAGTGAGAAAACCGTTACTTCAGATGATAACATCTCTGTCCCAAATCAAGGTAACCTGTCTATTAAAAAAAAGTCTACTTAACATAATAATATGATTATAAAATAAATATTAAAAGCTCTTTAAAATCGCGAACTCTGTGAACGTTTGTCTGATATTGGTTGCTGTTTGCTAACAGCTAAATATATACATAATATAAGGGTGGAAGCTAGTTAGCCAACTGTGGCTAACAGAGCGAATCACAACAAACACAGGCAAAACAGACATTAATCATCTTAACAGGGACTACATATTGTCAGCTCATATAGCCTACATTATATACAACAAGACCGACCTATAGTATTATTACTATAGCTCGTTGGGGGTATATTAAAGCTACAGCCAGCTGAAGAACACAAACAAAGCTGTGTTATCAAAGCTAATGTTTAGCTAGCCTGCTAGAAATAGCCTCCAGTTCTGATTACTCACCAACATCTTGGTCAAAAGGGTTGGTCGTGAAGAGAGGCATTGCTGGCGTACTGACAACAACAGATTTCCCCTTCCTCTGTTATTTTCGTTCCCTCTTTTATCTTATTTCATACAATAAAGTCGCATAGTAACGATAACTTAATGAATGTCAAATGCAGCTGAGTCTATTCTACACAGTCACTCCTTCGACAGACGGCAACAAGCGAGGCATTCTGGGTAATCTGAGCGGACAGACGCTGGTTAAATGAACTGCTGTCATCAACTGTTGTTGAATTCATAATTTTGATTGTCTCAGTCACCTCGGTTGCTAATGCTTCGGCACTGACTGTTCAGGGGAGAACATTGATCAAAAGCTTCAAAGTGTCCTAAAATAACAAGGATGTCACGGTCAGGTGATGGTGACCATGTGACATTATCTCATCGCTTTCAGACACAGACCACAAAACCCACTTGACCCTGTGCTTAATCTTTTTTTCTCAGCAGCTTTAAGGATCGTTTTGTCTTCAGTACATTCATTCGTCCTGGTATGATGGAGACAGTTAATAATGTCCATCATCATTACAAAAAAAGGGAAAGGAGGCTTAGCCACATTATTTGCATAATAACCAGGTATATCAGTCACTGATTTTAGACTTGTTCCCTTTTTTAAATGTTTATACATTTATTATGTATTATTGTAGTTTCTTAAATAACTGTTAATTTCAAAACACCATTCGCCGCCTGCTTCATGTATTCAATATTAATTTATTTGCACAATTAGTTTATACAATTTACAGAAACACTAGACTTGTGTCTTGTTTCTATCGCTCATCATACAATACATACATTTTTTTGACCTGCTGCTTTTTACATAATAGTTGTGTTATTTATGTTAATAATTGTTTTACCATTCTATGCTTTGTTGTCATTGTTTTGAGCCATACGATTGTTTATTTCTATCCTCTTATGATAAATGTTACTAGATGTATTATTGATGATACTGCTTTTAATATTCTTAAGATTTTTCCTTATAAAATCGATATATATTTAAGCCAAATACCATTTACATAGCTGAACCTTTTTTTAATTTAAACTTTATTATTTACAGATTTTGTTTAAAAAATGTTCAAAAGCTGAACATAAATAAACAGTGTAGATGTGCATGAGGGTGTTTTTGTTTTTTAATGCACATTTAATAAAGAAATACATGGCTTTTTCATACCAATATCTATTTTATAGGACAAAAAGCACTGACTCCACATACAGTTTCTTTCTCATTTTATTGTGATCCATAGGAACTTGGTCAATTCATTCAGGCATACTGATCATTAAGACAGATTACAAACTGCTACTCAGTCTTTAAGCATATTTTGAATTAGAAAAGGTTGATCATACAACAATAGGATATGATTATGCAAATTATAAAAGTGTAACATACTTCACATACACTATTTAGCATAATGAATAAATCATTGTACAATGGCACATTCACAAGAAACGTACATATTGTTAATGGGTGCCTCTTACTGGCAGTCTAAAGTCTAAAAACACTGTCCTTCATAAAACAGCAGCACTGCTCATATTGAGCAACTATTCTCAATAAGAAAAAGAAAATATATTGATACTTAGTTTGTATAAAGGTGAAATATACACTAACTTCATTTCTACCTATCATGAGAGTTTGCAGTCTTTTTCTAATACTAATATGGTGCTCATCATTTACCAGAGAGCTAATTTCTAATCAATGCTCTGAATCTGAAAAGTATTTGACAGTATAAAAATAGTTCATTTTATTAACAACAAAATCCTCTAATGTAGATACATTTTATTTTGTAAGTGTGAAGATAGAAAAGGCAGCCAGGAAATAAAACAATAGGAAATGTAATCGCAAACAACAATGATTTCTGGTATCTTTTGTGATAAACTATTTACAGATACACCTGTACAACAGAGGCGGCCCAAAACAATGAATAAGTATCGGCTAAATAAAACGTACGTTCACATGAATCTTTCAGCACTAAATCATAAAAAGTCGGCCTGGTCTGGGCCTGCTCGGTCTTTTGCACCACGATGTGTTGTAAAGTGCCTTTAAGACAAAGACCAGTCTGAGTGTCAGTGATGCTTGACTGGTCGGGCATTATCAGAGTCCTCCAGTCATCTAGAGCTCCTCCTCTTGTCCTTCATTATCCTCTTCATCTTCAGCCTCTTCACTTTTTCTCCCAAAGACAGCTCACACTGTCAGACATGGATGCTATAAAACAGGAACTACCACTGTGAAGAGAACAACAAAAAACACATTAGGTATATGTCAACACCTTTATATGTTGCTTACACTGTGCTACATTAACAGTTGAAGCAACAGCAATAATCTGAAACGTTATTTGAACTAAAAAAATCTACGCCAGATGCATCTCCCTCTTCTTTTTCATACAAGAAAGAGCTGAATGTAACTGTGAAGCTGACCGTTGAGCGGCCCGACCAAGCAAGGAGGCAGAGGCAAAACGTCCCAAATACAACCCGTTGTGGGCATTTATTAAAATCATAGACACATGATTCACAGCCTCAATCCTGCTGGTCTCCCTGAACACATCCTGCAGCCACAAGGATCTCACACCCACCTAACCCAACAAGAAAACAGCACCTAAATACACACACAGACTAACAAGACACAGGTGAGGGTGGAGCAATTAGACACAGGTGAGGGGGGAGGAGCCATCACAGGGCACCAGGTGAACACAATCCCCAACAATTAAGCTATACAACCCGTAACGGAGGCCGAGATCTATAGGCCCAGAGATCACCTCCGTGACAGTAACTCAATGGTTTATTTCCAGCTCCCTTACTATACATTCAAGAATGTATTACGAAAGCCCTGAGAGGCAAGTTAGAAAACTACATTCAGATCATCAACTTCAAAAAAGTCTGACCTAAATGTTTTCTTTCCTCATTCTATTACTTAAGAACAAGTGGAAAAGGTTCTGCTTGGATGTAATTTCTTAGTTGTTTTAAATTATATTTGACATAAAACATTTATATTTTTCAAGTGAAAACTGAATTTGTTTTTCTTTTGGTCAAGTTTGTTGTTGGAATACTTATTTCGTCCACAAGAGACTGAGGTCGAAAACTACAACAGGCTTAGTAGGAAATACAGAAATAGGAGATTTCCAAATTGGAAAAAGGTCTGATCTATAAAAGGTACTGACGGTCAACCGAGGCACGTTCACAGATGAAGCCGATGCGGTCGGTGCAGTAGAAATCATTCCAGTTGGCGTTATGGATGAGGCCAGCACAATCCTCGCCTTTGTCATGGCCATGGGTCCAGTTATCAGGCTGACCGGGCTTCCACTTCCTGATAGCAACAACATCATAAACATGTATTCAAGTTAAACAGAACATTTAAATCACTGAAACACATGAATTCCATCCGATTTATACATTTATCTTTTGAATAAATGTGGCCGGTCTACTCACGTGAAAGCAGGTAAGGTTCCATCCACCCATTTCCAGACATTTTCCTCCTCCAAGTCAGTAAGGCCCAGCCAGAAATAGCCTCTTCCTGCAGTTGCATCCTTTACAAATTCCTACAAATAGAAGAGCAAAACATTATTTCACAGGATTAGTTTAGCATACAAGTCTGAATGTATTAAAGTAACCATCTGGGTCTGATTTCCATTACCTGTTCGTCATTGTCGTTGATAATGAGCATCAGGGATGACATGTTGGTACAGAACTGTTTGGACTCTTTAAAGTTGAGCCTCAGAGTGGTGATGTAATAGCAGCTGTCTCCAAACCTTCTGTACCCAGTTGGGCAACCTGGATTAATCATTTACAGAAAACAGTAGTATAAGTACAGAAAGAATCTCATGGAATACGTTCCAAAAGTGTAAATAACAAATAATAATAATAATTACAAATAAATGTATATATTTTTTAATAATGTCTTTTTTTCCAATGAAGGACAGATTCAGTACGGGAGAGGATGAGGGCCACATGAAAACAGAAAACATTTTAGGATGTGACCAAAAGTAAACTCACTTCCGTAATGAAATGGTGTTACAAATGAAAAGGTGATTTTCCTTCCATTTCGATCTATTTTAAACCCTTATGTAATGATTTAACTCACCAGGCGCTGGTTCAATGACCTGGGTCTGCCGGGACACGCTGCCCTCAGTTACCTCTACTGGTTTTGAGGGTTGAGGTTTGGGGGGTTGAGGTGGTTTGGGGGGTTGAGGTGGTTTTGGAGGCTGAGGTGGTTTTGGAGGTTGAGGTGGTTTGGGGGTTTGAGGGACCTTAGCTGGCTTAGTGGGCTGTGGTGGCTTTGGAGGCTTTGGAGTTGGAGGTCTAGATGCAGGTAACCCAGGAAGTCCTGGAGGACCGGGGGGGCCGATGGGTCCGACGGGCCCACGAGGTCCTTCCAGCCCTGCAGGACCAGCTGCTCCTCTGGGCCCCTGTGGCCCTTGAGTTCCTGGCGGCCCTGACAGTCCATCCCTACCAGGAACCCCAGGAGCGCCCGCATCGCCCTTTTCACCAGAATTTCCAGGTCGGCCCCCAGACCCTCTCGATCCTTTGGCCCCGGGAAGACCCCGAGCCCCGGCTGCACCCTTTGAACCTGTTGCACCTGGTAGACCAGCAGCACCTTTCTCTCCTTTAGATCCCACCAATCCCAGCATCCCTTTGTCTCCTTTATCGCCCTTTTGTCCTGACTGACCCACTGGCCCCTGGGGACCCTTGTCACCCCTGGGACCCCTTGGACCTGGCGGACCTGAAACACAATAACAACAGATGATGTGCCAAAATATGATGTCACTGTTCAGGTCTAAACCTGTCATGATAAATATAAACACTATTATTGTGTTTTAAAGATCATCTCATTCCACTGACATAATGATCATATAATAGCATAATAATGCAAGAACAATAAGGCACCCTCACAAAAAGCATTTTAATGCTTAGAATATTCTGATATTGGAATTTAATGAAATATATAAGTTTTGTGTTGGTACAGAAAACCCTGCTGTTTATTCTGGCATCATAAAAGTGACATTCAATTATGCATGGTAACACAAAGGGCATTGTGGAGGTCAGCAAAAGGATCAAGGTCATGTACATATATTGTTCAATTAAGTCCATAACTATTTTAACAGTCCTAACGTTTTTTTTACACAGGCTCACAGAAAACTAACTCTGAACTGTATAATTTCTTCTGTTCTTACCTTGCAGGATGGTGAAGTTGGTGATGAGCTGTGTATGCTTGCTGTCCACCAGCTTCATCTCCTCCATCACAATGGAGAGGTTGTTGACCTCTCGGTCCAGCCTGGACACCAGCACATCC